CCTCCTCCTCCTCCTCCTCCTCCTCCTCCTCCTCCTCCCTTTCGATATGCCAGAACAAAGACAAATCCGATGCCGTTACAAGTTCACTACGGGGTCCCTGGCAGTCCCGACCCTCTCCCTGTCGGCGGCGAGCAAGGGGGGAACTGAGAAGGAGAAGACCTTCTCACAGGTGGCGGGACTTCTTCGAAGCCCTCGCGCCTTCCGAGAAGTTGCGGTCTGCCTTCGGGGAAGGCTTCGAAAACTGCTCACAGGGGGCCAGGAGACTTCCGAACCCTCTGAGAGGGCCTTCTCCTTCTCCCTTCCCCCCCTCGCGCTCGCCGCCGGCCCTGGGACAGCGAGCTCCTCCCGAGCCACTCTCGGACAGCCCCGAGGAGGCCAGCGGGGGCCTCCCGAGGCCGAAGCCGGCGGGGCGAAGAAGCTTGCGCGGCGCTGGGAGTCTGCAAAGTGGCCCGGGGACACACACACACACACACACACACACACACACACACACACAAAAACACACACACACACATGAATAACAATATGCATAAAACCAAGGATTCCCCATATGTCCCTGCGTTGTCCTATATGCCCCCCTGTTTTCCTACATGTTCCTCTATTCTCCTTTCTTTAAAGAATACACTCTACACCCCCCGGCGTTATCCGCCCCCCTTTCGGGTATGTAATTCATATATGTTTCTGACCACATGTCCATCCGAAATATGAATTTACACTATCCCAGGGGAACCGGGATCGGTCCCCCTGAGGTACCCTTGTAAAAAACGATACGTGGGGACATCTTTTGTTCAAACATAACACTTGTTCACGAAACCCTTGCAAAAAATGGGACGAAGTGCACACGCGCGCGTCGTCGCGCGCGCATGCCGAAATCCTTCAAAAACCTTCGGTGTCGGAAGGATTTCGCAATCGAGTTTCCAAAAAAAAGATACACAGGGTTTCGCAACACTGATTTGCTAAAAAAGCTTACGCGCGAGCTCTTGCGAAATCTTAAGAAACCATAGGTTTTTCAAGATTTTCACAAAATACTACCACACGGGCTTCGCGCGCGCATGTCGAAATCTGTCGAACGCCCTTGCGCGTGTGCCGTCGCGAGAATACTCTGCAAAAAACTGGACGAAGTGCAGACGCGCGCGTCGTCGCGCGAGTATGCCGAAATCCTTCAAAACCCATCGGTTTCGGAAGGACTTCAAAATCGTGTGTCCAAAAAACCTACAAAAACAACAGGTTTCGCAACACGGATGTTCAACAAAAAAACGCGCGCGCGCTCTTGCGTCGTCGTCGTCGTCGTCGTCCTCGTCGCCGTCCTCCCTCCTCCCGCGTCGTTGTCGTCGTCGCCTAGGTCGTCCTCTGTCTTTCCTCGTGTTCGTCGTCGTCGTCCTCTTTGGTGTCGTGGTCGCTTCCGTCGTCGTTGTCGCCGTGGTCGTCCTTCCTCCTCCTCCCTCGTCGTCGTCGTCGTCCGTCGTCGGCGTCTCGTCGTCGTCCCTCCTATTTCGTCGCCGTCGTCGTCGTCGTCGTCGTCATCGTCGTGTCGTCGTCGTCTTCCCTCCTCCCTCGTCGTTGCCGTCGTCGGCGTCGCCGTCCTTCCTCCTTCTTCGTCGTTCGCGTCGTCGCTGTCCTCTCTCCTCCCTCGTCGTTGTCGTCGTTGTCGTCGTTGTCACCGTCGTCGTCCTCCCTCCTCCCTCGTCGTCGTCTTCGTTGGCGACGTCGTCGTCGTCGTCTTCGTCGTCGTCGGCGTCGGCGTCGTCGTCGTCTTCGTCGTCGTCGACGTCGGCGTCGTCGTCGTCGCCGCTGTCGTCGTCGTCGTCGTCGGCGTCGTTGACGTCGTCGTCGTCGGTGTCGTCGTTGTCGTCGTCGGCGTCGTCATCATCGTCGTCGGCGTCGTCATCGTCGTCGTCGTTGTCATCGTCGTCGTCGTCGTCGTCGGCAACGGCGTCGTCGTCGTCGTCGGTGTCGTCGTCGTCGTCGTCGTTGTCGGCGTCGTCGAAGTCGACGGAGACGTCGTCGGTGTCGTCGTAGTCGTTGTCGGCGGCGTCGTCGTTGTCGCTGTCGTCGTCGGCGTCGCTGTCATTGCCAAGTGCCATTTGGTACCCACCGTCACGGTCTTAAGAGATTATGCAAACCAAGTTGCGGGTGGGTGGGTGGGATGTTTGCGCGAGCAGTGGAGTGGACAGCTTCAAGACAGTCAAAGTGGATTTCCCCCATACTTCCCCCCACACACTTCCCATGTTTTCCCACATGGCCCTGGGCATCGACGATGACCTCTGTCTGTGTGTCTTGTCCCCTCCCGAGTCTGGGGAGGTCTGGGCCCCCCCTCGCCCCCCGGATCCCCCGGGGTGCCTTGGCGGGCATGCTGGGCAGGGAGGGCACCGCCGCGTCCGACATGCCGAGGAAGTCCCTGTAGAACTTGGAGGCCGCCGCGACGTCCCTGACCCGGCAGAGGACGTCTGGCGGCGCGCAAGAGGGGGGCCCGGAGACCGAGGATCTGATTTCTTCAATCCGGCGGTTTCTCATGAAGTTCGGCCTCCTGGGGCCCGTCATCGGGCCCGGGGACCATCAGAAGTGGATCCGGGGCGAAAAAACACACCCCGGGAAGGGGTCGGGACCTCTGGGGCCGCGGATTGAAGCAGTCATATCGGCGGATGTCTGGGGGGTGACGCGAAGGTTTTGTTCCACGAGCTCGAGGCACTGTGACTGGCAGGATGCCCCACGAGCGCCGGACTCTCGGCGGTACAGGGCACGGCCGCAGGCCGCGCCTTGGACGACCGAGTCCAGCGCGAGCGGGGCCTGGGCGCGAATGAATGGGGGGCGACAGATGGGGGGAAGGGGGGGGGAGACGGGTGCCCTTTTCGGGCCCTGGAGGCCCCCCATCTGGGCCCAGAAGAGAAGGGCCCCTTCACGTGCCCGAAAGGGCCCCTTTGCGGCCGCCCTCGCCCCACCCCCACTCATGGCCCCTCCCCCGTTACGCGCCCCCCCAAAAGGAGTGGCCTTCCAGGACCTCAGGAGGCCGATGAGGAGGAAGCTCCGGAGCAGGCGACGGGGGGGCTGCCTGAGAGGCCCGCCCAGCGCTTCTACAGAGAGGCAGCCGGGCGCCCCCGAGAGGCCCCCCGCCGTCCTATATGGGAGCCCGCCCACCTCGCCACAACTTGGAATCCCGAAACGGTGCGGTGACGGACCGTGCGGTGGCCTCGAGATCCCCCAAGACCTCACCGCACGGCCCGTCACCGCACGGTCTTGGGACCCCAGAGGCCCCTGTCGCCCGAGACGTCCTCGGAGAGGGACTCGAGTCCCAGAACCGTGCGGTGGCCACAGATCCCCACCGACTCACCGCACGGTGTGGTCACCACACCGTTTGGGGGCCACCGACACAACCCCCCCCTGCGCGCCGCCCGGACGTAGAGGAACTTCTCCCCGCGGCCGGCGGGCAGCGGCAGCGGCCGGAAGGTGTAGCCGTCGGGCCCAGTGATGGCCCCACCCTGCACCGCGTAGCCCAGGCCCTTCGCGGTCGCCACGGCGGCCTCCACGTCCGGCACGAAGAGCCCGAACTCCCTGAGGCCAGTCCCGGCCTTGTAGGAGTTCAGGCCGTAGTTGAACGTCAGCTCCATGCAGTAGGCCTTGTCCTCCAGATCATACCCGACCATGGTCTTGCTCCAGGCGGTCTTGAAGGGGCCGTTGCAGGTGATGCCTCAGGCGGCGGAGTTCTCCTCGTGCCGCAGCACCCGCATGCCGAAGACGTCCTTCAGGAACTTCAGCGAGGGCTGCAGCCTGGAGATGCGGAACACCCAGTGGAGCGCAAAGCCGTTCATGCTGCGCGAGGGCGCCAAAGGGCCAGCTGGAGGAAGAAAGTTCAGACGCTCGTACCCGTGGGTCGGAAGAAGTCGGTAGAAACATGAAGTAGGAAGGCGTTGAAAGTAGACTGGGTGTCCGCCCGCCCCCTGAAAAGGAGGGCAAAGGTGAAGCCACTCGATCAGTGAAGTAGGAAGGCTCTTTTAAAGTAGATTGGAAGCTGGGATTCCAAACTTACACTTCAGAAAAAAAAGTCCAATCAATAGATGGTTTGAATGAATGGACCGATGAAGAGATCGATAAGGAGATCGACCAAAACCCGGGAACCCAAGAACCAGGAACCCACCGAAATCGGCCCGGAACCATGAGTCAGGAACCCGGGAACCCCGGGAACCGGGAATCTGGGAACCCAGCCAGCTGCCGGGATCGGCGGAAAACTTTCGCCAAATCTTTCCAATTCCGCAAATTTTTTGGTCGGCGGAGCGAGAGCGAACCTCTTCCGCTAAAAGGCTAGGACCCATACAGTGCAGGCACTGATTGGGGAAATATACCCATTTCCAACGACCGAGGAGTCTGGGGGCAGGGAAGGAGGGGTGGGGCTATGCTGCCCCCATCGTACTTCAGCATCCCAGAAAGAATCTCGAGCAGCCAAGAAAATAGAAAAACATTGTCGAACGATTACCGCCTCCCAGGGCCCGACGCGCGAGAACCCCCCAGTTTCGGTCCCTTCTTGATGCTCGAAAGTCTCACCGATGATCAAGGCTAAAGAGGGTGGGAACATCGTAAGGGTGGGGGTGGGGGAGGAGAGAGAGGGTCGAGGAGCACGAGGCGGGCGAGGCGGACCGAGGACGGAGGACGGAGGAGGAGCAAAAACCGAGGGGCGAGAGAGAGAGGGAAAACAAACAAGAAGCAAACGCATCAGGAGGAGGAGGAGGAGGAGGAGGAGCAAATGGAGGGGAGAGAAGGATGGATTTATGATGTTCCAACATACTCTGGCCCTGATCACCAGAAAGAATCTCGAGGACCAAGAGGTGTACCGACTCCCGAGGGTTTTCGCGCGTCGTGCCCTGGGAGGCGGCACTGGATCGACACTGCTTCGGCACGTTCCTGGGCGCTCGAGATTGTTTCTGGTATCTGGCCCCTCAAGTACAGTCGGACTTGATTGGCCAGGACACGCGAGAGGACACAAGCCCCTTCCGAGGGCCACATTGCCATGGGAACGCAGGAGGCAGGGGTCGCGAGACACGGGACACGAGGGGGTGCCCTTGACTTGGCAGGGTCGACCTACTGATCAAATCTGGGCCGCCTGCACGACGGGCCCCACACGAAGGACGGACGAACGAGAACGGGAAGCGAATCGGGGGAGGAGCAGGAGGAGGAGGGGGAGGAGGAGGAGGAAGAGGAGGAGGAGGAGGAGGAGAAGGAGGAGGAGGAGGAGGAGGAGGAGGAGGGGCGAGCAGGAGGGGGCTGTGAACGCCAAACAGAATCGGCCCCGGGGCAGGAACGGGCACGGGAGCACGGACGGGACAAAGGAGCACGACGAGCACGGAGCATGCGAGCGCCTCGCCGTCGCTCGGGCGCCCACTCCCCGTGCACGGGCTTCGGCCTCGCGCGGGTACGCGTCGCAGGATGGCCCAGAAGGCTCCGCGATGGTCTCCGCCGGGGAAAAAGTGCACACGCCCGAACGATGCCGAGACGTGAATGAGAAAAGCATTAGGTCGAAATTCAAACACAAATACCCCCCAAAAATAAACCTATTCGACAATAGCCAAAAAATCGTCCCCGAAACTATTTTTCATCCATTTTTGAATACTCCTCCTGTGGGGGGACAGGCCCGACGTAAGAGAAGTGTTGAGGAGGCAGGGTCCAAGACAGAGGCAGGCCCACGAGGACCAAAGCGGAAGACGAGGGGGCAGCCGCGACTGGCACGGGCCGCTCCTCCATGGGGGCGGTGAGCCCATGCGAGCGCAACCACTGGTGTTCTCGGTGGTGCTCCCTACGGGTCCACGAAACGTGTGGAGGGTGGGCCGACATGAGCGCGGCGGGCGCATGCGAGCGCAGCCACTGGGGCCCTCGGTGGAGCTCTCTATGGATCCACGAAACGGGTGAGGGGTGTGCCGAAATTGATGCGGCTGGCGCATGCGAGCGCAGCCACTGGGGCCCTCGGAGGAGCCCCCTCATGGGGCCATGAAACGGGTGAGGGCTGTGCTGAACTGGGTGCGGTGGGCCCATGCGAGCGCAGCCACTGGGGCCCTCGGTGGACTTTCGATGGGGTACCGAAACGGGCTGGGCGGACTGAGCGCGGCAGACGCTTGCGAACACGCCTCTCATGGGGCCACGAGATGTGTGGGGGGGTCTGCATGGGCGCGGTGGGCGCATGCGAACACCGCCACTGAGGCCCTCGGTGGAGTTCCCTATGGGGCCACGAAACGTATAAGGGGTGTGCCGACATGGGCGTTGCAGACCCATGCGAGCGCAGCCACTGGGGCCCTCGGTGGAGCTCCCTACGGGTCCACGAAACGAGTGAGGGGTGCGCCGAAATGGGCGCGGTGGGCGCATGTGAGCGCAGCCACTGGTGCATTCGTTGGAGCTCCTTATGGGGCCACGAAACGTGCGAGAGGTGAGCCGAAATGAGCGAGGTGGGCGCATGCGAGCGCAGCCAATGGGGCCCTCGGTGGAGCACCCTACGGGTTCACGCAACGAGTGGGGGGTGCGGCGAAATGGGCGCGGTGGGCGCATGTGAGCGCAGCCACTGGTGCCTTCGCTGGAGCTCCCGATGGGGCCACGCAAGGTGCGAGAGGTGAGCCGAAATGACCGAGGTGGGCGCATGCGAGCGCAGCCACTGGGGCCCTCGGTGGAGCTCCCCATGGGGGGGCCACGAAATGAATGAGGAGTGTGCCGACATGAGCGCGGTGGGCGCATGTGAGCGCAGCCAATGGTGCCTTCGTTGGAGCTCCCTATGGGGCCACAAACGTATAAGGGGTGTGCCGACATGGGTGCGGTGGGCCCATACGAGCGCAGCCACTGGGGCCCTCGGTGGAGCTCCCTACGGGTCCACGAAACGAGTGAGGGGTGCGCCGAAATGGGCGCGGTGGGCGCATGCGTGCGCAGCCACTGGGGCCCTCGGTGGAGCCCACCGTGGGGGGGCCACGAAATGAATGAGGAGTGTGCCGACATGGGCGCGGTGGGCGCATGCGAGCGCAGCCACTGGGGCCCTCGGTGGAGCCCCGTACGGGTCCACGAGACGTCTGGGGGGTGTGCCGAAATGGGCGCGGTGGGCGCATGCGAGCGCAGCCACTGGGGCCCTCGGTGGAGCCCACCATGGGGGGCCACGAAGTGAATGAGGAGTGTGCCGGCATGGGCGCGGTGGGCGCATGCGATCGCAGCCACTGGTGCCTTCGTTGGAAAACCCTATGGGGCCACAAAACGTACAAGGCGTGTGCCGAACTTGCTCACTGGTGCGGGCAGCAGAACAGGAGGAGGAGAGGAGGGGGAAGGAGAGGAGAGGAGAGGAGGGGAGAGGAGAAGAGGAGACGGAGACGGAGAAGGAGAAGGAGAAGGAGAAGGAGAAGGAGAAGGAGAAGGAGAAGGAGAAGGAGAAGGAGAAGGAGAAGGAGAAGGAGAAGGAGAAGGAGAGAAGGAGAAGGAGAAGGAGAAGGAGAAGGAGAAGGAGAAGGAGAAGGAGAAGGAGAAGGAGAAGGAGAAGGAGAAGGAGAAGGAGAAGGAGAAGGAGAAGGAGAAGGAGAAGGAGAAGTAGAAGGAGAAGGAGAAGGAGAAGGAGAAGGAGAAGGAGAAGGAGAAGGAGAAGGAGAAGGAGAAGGAGAAGGAGAAGGAGAAGGAGAAGGAGAAGGAGAAGGAGAAGGAGAAGGAGAAGGAGAAGGAGAAGGAGAAGGAGAAGGATAAGGAGAAGGAGAAGGAGAAGGAGAAGGAGAAGGAGAAGGAGAAGGAGAAGGAGAAGGAGAAGGAGAAGGAGAAGGAGCAGGAGAAGGAGAAGGAGAAGGAGAAGGAGAAGGACAAGGACAAGGAGAAGGAGAAGGAGAAGGAGAAGGAGAAGGAGAAGGAGAAGGA